GGAACTGTTCGGTCCTACAGACCCAGGTCGGGCCCCCAGCTGAGGGATCCTGAAGGAATTTGGGTGTTAACCCCTGAGTGATCACTGATGTCTTGGCAGGAGATTGCCGCTCTCCACTTCCTCAGCCAAAGCCCCTACGGGTAGTCGCTGGGGAGATAAAATGGAGCTCCTTTCACAGGGGATGGAACTCGGTGTGGAGGGAAGCAGAGGTGGAGGCCCGTTTGCTGAATTCCGTTCTGTAAGTCACACCGACATAGAACACTTGAGGCCGAGCACACTTGAACTTTTATTTTATTTTATTTTATTTATTTTTTTTTGTTAATCCTCACCTGAGACTATTTTCCCATTGATTTTTAGAGTGGAAAAGAAGGGGAGAGACAGAGAGAGAAAAACATCGATGTGAGAGAGACACATCAATGGGTTGTCTCCAGCATGCGCTCCGGCCAGGGCCAGAGATTGAGCCTGCAACCCAGGTACATGCCTTTGACCAGAATCGTACCTGGCCGATAGAGTCCACAGGCCGACTCTATTCACTGAGCCAAACCGGCGAGGGCACACTTGAACTTTTAAACTGGCCAGGGTCCTCAGCCTGCTCCTCAGCTGCCTGGTGCCCCTCCCAACGGTGACACCCCACCCGTCTGCTGGCGTCTGTACAGACACTCCACTTTGCATCAGACTCAGCAGATCTGTCTCCTGCTAGAATGCTACCCAGGGCAGGGTACATTTGCCCTGGCTCCCGCTCCCTTATAATGTCCAGAGCTGGTCCCTGCTCAGACCTTAGGCAAGTCACCTAACTCTCTGAGACTTTCTTTTTCCACAACATTGGAAGGAGACAGTGCCTGTGAAACAGGACCAAACAGGCTAATGCACACAAAAGAGCTTCAGAAGCCGTCGGGTGTGGCCGGAATGATTTCCTTATGGTTAATTTATTTAACGTGTCTTACCCTTCACAGAAAGCACCTTTCAGAAGTCAGTCTATCTGTGGGAATTCCCTCCTGTGGAGGGAGGTCAGTTCGGGGTCCAGTGGCTACTCCGCAGCACGTGCTCAGCCACTTGCTTCACCCATGCTTGGAAGCTGGCCTTGAGGACTGGTCAGGAAACACTTAATTTCTGTTTTGTACAAGCTTGGATTCTGGACCTGCAGATCTTACTGAGATGTCCCTTAGGTATTGCTGTCACATCAGTTATTTATCCAGTCCGGTTTTTGCTTTTCTTGTCATGCATTTGTCTGGGAAAAAGAAAGTAACTAGAAACATTATTGATGATAGCTCCCCAAACTGACAAGGTGTCATTGGACATTTTAATGAGGGCCAGTTTGGGCCGTGACCTCAGGACTCTGCTGATTCTCAGACGATGTTGATCTGATCCCAGACACTTGAAATGTTATAGTCCAGTCCAGAGGGCTCGTAGCACCTTTTGACAGAGAACTAAATATTCTGGAACCAAGCCACATGGCCATGAATTCGCCATGGGCCCAGTGGCACGTGGGATGAATGGCATAGCATTTGGGAGATGGAAAGAAACAGCGTTTACCATAAAGAGCCTCCTACCCAAATATTGACTCCTTGCTGGAGACCCATTTGCCAGCCAAGACTTGGGGGTCCACATATCTGCCTAATTAGAACATAAACCCACAGAAGATACCAGTCTCTTCTCAACCGGAAGGTGAAGTTTTATACTAGTAGCTGGTTTAATGTTCTTACTATGAATGGTCATAGACTGCAGCCCTAGGTGACATGGATATTTCAGAACTCCAAATGCAGGTGATAGTCAAACTGTATTGAACTGGATTTACCTTTTCTTTGATTCTGTGGGCGTGGCAGGTCCCAGAGGGCCTTGGTCATCTTGGTGACTCGTAGTGGTTCAAGCCCAGCTTCAGTGGTACAAAGCGCCAAAGAGTAGACCCGTTTTCTTCCTGGCCCTTTGACACACTAGAGAATTTTGTTTTCTTTACATTAAATATCTGATACCAACTTGCTCATGTTTTGGTTGCTTCTCACACAAGCAGAAGGCAGATTATAAGACAGTTTGTCTCTTTTTGCTGTTTTCTGGTGGTTTTAATTTTGCACAAAGGAGAACTTAGAGCACACTTTGGGAGCTTAAATCAAGTGCTTGCTCTTGAGTGGTTCTGGAGCCGTCCTACCAAATGGTGAATTTGTTCAGTTTATCTTGCATTCTTCAAAGACAATTTGAAGAAGTTATAACAGTTCACATGGGTGAGGTTGCTGAGTGATTATTTTTTTGCAACTGCATAAACAACTTTGACTGGAGGGACATTAAAACAGTCATTACAACTGTATTCCTTATGTTCAAAAAGTCCGGTAGAGACATGGAAGCTAAAATTAGACCCAAATAAAATTTCTAGAGATGAAAACTACAATGTGTGAGATGAAAAATACACTGTATGTGATTAAAGGCAGATTAGATATTGAAGAAAAGATTAGTGAATTTGAAGATATAGCAGTAGAAATTTATACAAAATGAAACAGAAAGGATAAATTAAAAAGAAAGTGGAAAGAGCATGAGTGAGCTGTGGATAACTTCAGGTGGCCAAATTGGATTCCCTAAGGAAGGAAGGAAGAGTTAACACAATATTTGAAGAAATAATGACTGCACAGTTTTAAATTTTATGAAAACTATGAGCCCTTAAATCCAGAAAGCTCCATGAAGCCCAGCACAAGAAACATGGAGAAAACTAAGCCAAAGCACTTCACAATCCAAATTTCTCACAATCAGTAAAGTCGTAAAAGCAGCCAGAAACAGGCGGATGAACAAACATGAGGGTGACGGCAGATTTATTGTCAGAAACCATGGGAGTGAGAACACAGTGGAGCACATCTTTAGAGTAAGTGGGGAGGGGGGGCAGAGGAAGCAAACTGCCAACCAATGAGAATATTCTCAAAACTGAAGGCCAAATAAAGCCTTCTTCAGACACACAGTGACTGAGATACGTCGTCTTAGTTGAACTGCACTGTCAGAAACGTTGAGGGAACCCCTAAAGGAGAAGGAAAAGGCTGCCAGAAGGCTCGAGACTTCAATAAATAGAACAATAGATGGATGGTCAGTAAGGATAGAGGAACCTTGGAACAACACCATTGATTTGCAAAGAAACTATATTTATTTCGCTATTTCTTACAAACATTCTTACTGTACAGCCCTCCAATTGTGCTTGTTGGTATTTTACCTAATTGAGTTGAAACTATGTTCATACAAAGACCTGCGCACGAATGTTTATAGCAGCTTATTCATAATTGCCCCAACTTGGGAGCAATGGAGATGCCTTTGACTAGATTAATGGGTAAATGGATTATTATTTAGCAACAAAAAGAGATGGAGGGGCCTTATATCAGTATTCTAAGTGAAGGAAGCCAGTCTGAAAAGGCTATAGACTGCATGATTGCAGCTGCATGAAATTTTGGAAAAGGCAAAACTACAGAGACAATAGAAAAATTAGTGGTCGCCAGGAGGAGGTGATGGAGGGGATGTTTTAGGGCAGTGAATCTATTGCGTACAGCACAGTAATGGTGGACACTTGACATTATTAAAACATTTGTCAAAGCTCATAGAACTGCACAACACAGAGTGAACCCGAACGAAAACTATGGACTTGAGTTGGTAAATAAATAAAAACAACAATAACAAAAATATGGAAACATTGAAAAAACATATAGTTTGTTACATGCCAATCTTACCCCAATAACGCTGTTAAAACCTATCAAGTTGGCTGAGCTGCACCTTCTGTGACAAAGTGGCAACCTCTGAGCTCGCAGGTAGGTCCTGCGGTTTTGCCCCCTTGTGCATAGAAGCGGCCTCTCCTTCCCGCATCGTACAGCCGCCTCCCGTGGCCTCTGCAGCGGGAGGGACTGTCGCTTTTAGTCTCAAAACGATGCACGTGAGGCTTTGGGTCATTTTCTGATGTTTTTAGTGTGTCTGACCCCCTCTCTGTAGTGGCATCCACTTTGAAAATCAGCAACTAATGACGGGTGTTACTTGGGAGGCCAAAGGCCTGCATTCTGATTCCCGTGGTGCTGATAACTGATCTTTAGGTTTGGGGCAAGTCTCTTGCTTCACCATGGCAGACCTCAGCTCCTTCGTCTGCACAGTGGGTGGGTTTTCCTGCGACTCTGTCTGCCCCCTTCCAATTGCAAGCCCTGTTTCTGTCGGTAGTAAGCCTTGTCTCACTTTTATATGGAGGGGGATGTGCGGGGTGTGTGTATACTGCATCCCAGGGCACTTGGCGCAGCAGCCCTATTGCAGGTAGGGGCACCGGAGACCCTCCACACAGTCCCTCTGCCTCCGGTTGTGGGTGGAACCCTGAGTCCAACTTGCTCCAGGCCGGGTGCCCAGGGCTGGGGTCAGGCTGTAGCTGCTGCCCTCAGCATTGTTCTTTTTTCAGCCTTTCATACATCCCAGCCCTGAAATCTCTCTTGGCTGAGAGAACCTCCTCCATCTGCAAAAAAAATGCCCACAAAGCAAAGTTCTGGGTGTTTTCTTAGCCCAGAACTGAGAGGTGGTCCATGGTGTGATGTTGAACCCAAACGCTAAGGCTGAGAGTTGGACGATTTTTCTTGTAACTGAGCCTCCTGAGAGCATCTAAACATGTTTTATGTTTGATTGGTTCAGTGTACATTTTGAGATAGAAAATTTCCTTTAGCTGGTCTTGTTCCACGAGCCTAACTTACCTTTAAAATTCTTTAAGGACCTTGGGATGTAATTGACTGAGAAGCTCTGTTTGGTCTGAACGGGGTCACGGTGATCAAGTCCTCAGACTGGATATCAAAATCGAACGGTGCTTTGAGCACGGCCAGGGGCCTCTTTCCTCTGTAACTTATGGATGCTCTTTCTGATGTTCCATTTGTCTGAGAGCAGGACAGAGGATCTGCTTCTCTGACCACTCGTGGGCTCCTGCGGCCACTTCCTCAACCTCGCGAGCAATAGTTTAAAAATTAAGCCCCATGAAAAGCAACTCACCCAGTGTTTGTGTTTGATCTTTTTCTTAGGACTTTGTTTAGAGAAGTTGCCTGTTTCCTCTTCTACCAGTAACCTCCACGCGGACCGGGAACAGGAGGTCATCACCTGCTATGAGAAAGCGGGGGACATCGCGCTCCTGTACCTCCAAGAGATAGAAAGGGTGAGTGAGGACCATGCATTTGTTCCAGTGGATACTTAAAAAAATCAAATCAAATCAAATTGTGGAGGACTGTGGTCAACCTCGGGAAAGCCCTCGGCTTGTCCGCCTCTGGGCGCGAGGCTTTCCTTACTCTCCCTGATGCCGAGGAGAATCTGGTGGCGACCGTGGCGCCTCGTGAGCATGGACGGGTCAGTGCTGGGAAGGCACTTGAACACGCTCTGAGCAGAAGTGACGGTGTGCCTCTGCTCATGCCCTTCCACCCTGAAGCTGGCTATTATGTCCGTTCTCCTTCGCAAAGTGGGTGGATCTTCACGTGTCCTTGGTGGACTCTGTACCAGCACCATGTACATCTGGGTTTGGGAGGCTTTACCTTGAAGGCTCTGCCGGAGGTCTGCTGGGGACTCTCAGCCGACCTGCTCGGAGCAGGTGTGTATCCCCTGAGACCATCGGGGACGGCTTCTCCTCAGAGTCCCTGGTTTACCTGTCGTGTGGGGAATGGAGACCAGCAGCTAACAGGGGGACACCTGACCAGGGAGTGAGTGGGCAAGAGACCCCGAGCCCACGCCCTCGGGCAGGGGGCATTGGAGCAGGATGGGCCAGGGAGGAGTCACTTCTTGTTTGGAAGGATCTCTGTCGCTGGCTCTGCTCGTGCCTAAGCTCCTTCACTTCTCAGCCTCACATCCCCATCTGTAAAAGGAGCATAATAATGGCTCCTACTTCACGGTGTTCTTGTGGGGATTGTGAAAGGTCATCTAAATAAGGCACTTAGCCCAGGATTCTTGAATGAATGACACTTGTTTTTACTAAACTCTGCCCCCAGCAGAGCTTTCTGGGGTCTAACCAAGGCTCAACAAGGGTATTCCCCCTTCAGACCCCGAGATGTATCCTGCGAGGTATTTTGAAATGATTAGAAATCCTCTGAGTCTTTGAAAATAACCATGATATTGTTTCCCATCATTTTCATAGGTCCTCTGTCTCTGTGAGGATTAGAATAGAGAGGGACTACCAAGTCAGGGTTTGTTTTTGTTATTTTATAAGTGTACAGACTGGAAGTGATTTCTTCATAAATAATGTGTGTGATGAGGATCAGAATTGCCTTGTAGGAGGCCGGGAGAGGAGGTGGAAGCACAAGAGAGGAGCGGGGAGGGCGGTGGAGTGACTTTTGGCCTGGCCTCCACCAGAATGGACTCTCAGCCACGGCTCGGCACCTCTGGGAATTCAGGAAGACGTCTGGCCATCTTGCCAAAGTGTTCTATCCGAAGGCTGCTATGAGGAAGGGTTTTTTTTCTTTGTTTGTTATTCGAAAGTTACGATTGATCTTTAGAGAAATGACCATGCAGCTTGCTTTCAAAGTCACATGGTTTTCCCTGCCTGCCTCCTCGAGAGCCGGGCTCCCGGCAGGGACACTGCTGACCCGGCTGAGCCATTCTTGTGGGCCCCACAGCCCTCGCCTCTCCGGGCCCTCATTTTGCACCATCTTTGTCCAGCGGCTGCCCAGCCCTATCCTGGAGGGGCTGCCTTCTCCGGCTGGGAGGAAGGAGGTTCATCTGTTACCCGTGTCTTCCATGGCATGGGAATTGGCAAGTCGGGATGTACTTCCTGTCTTGTTCGTTTATAACTACCCACTCACCACTGGACTCATAGGATATAAAATAATTTTTTGATGGTTTTGGGGAAATGGTGATCATAGGACGTTAGGTTTTGAGAAGAAAATGCCCAGAAAGGGAGAGCCCAAGGGCACGGAGGGATTTGGGGCCAAAGCTAGAATTAGAACTAGCTTTTTCTTTACCTAATTCAGCGCTTACTCGCTTCCCTGTCCCAGGCTACTGTGGTTTCCCACACCCTTATATATAGAAAACGCTCACCAAGTATTTGGCCAGGCGAACTGTGGCTCTTAGTAGCGTGGGGAGCAGCCTCGGCCCAGAGTCCAGTCTCAGGGTGTGTAGACGACTTTGACGTTTCTGGCTCGATTTTCCAGTCTGAGTTTTCCTTCCTGGGAAAGCACTTTGAGCCTCCCCAGATCCAGCAAGTCGAGAGAGTAGCAACGAGAGGGGTTGAGTGAACCAGACATCTGTTTTGACTGTAGTGGGTGCTCAAGAAGCGACCTGTTGATGGATGAGAAGTCTAGAGGAGAAATGACCTTCCGTAAGTGACCTTCAGGCTTAGTGAAAGTTCAAGGGTTTTTATGAGACAAGACAATGAGGATACCTGCTTGGACTTAAAAAATTTTTTTGAACTTAAATGACTTGAGAACTATGCAAAATTGAAAACAGATTTCAAGGAAATAGCATCTGAGGGAAGTCCAGGACTGGGGCAGGCTTGGGCGAGTAGTGCTTTGATTTTCTGGGTAGGCAGCTCTTGTAAGTAGAAAGCGCCACATGCTCTGTTTCTGTGTTGGTTCTGCCGGGCCAAGGCAGTCCGTCACTCAGTGATTTCCCCTCATTTCCCAGCCATTCTATGGTGAAGAAACTTCTATTTGCCAGGACCTTTGGGCATTTTCCTTATCAGTTGGCTCTTAACTTCATGCACTGGCAAGAATAAAATTGGGGGAGAACCTTTGAGGACAGGTGGAACATTGTGGCCAGACTTTTCCGTTTGGGAACACTGGGTTGTACTTCTCAGGCAGCTCTATTCTCCGAGCTTCCCTAAAAGTGGCTATGTCCAGTGATGTTGGACATGTTTGCTCCCTGAAGGTGGGGACTCTTCAGGGAGGGGCTGATCTTGGCTTCCCCTGGAGCTAACTTAAGCTGTGAGAGGCAGCAGAGCACAGCGGCCAAGCGACTGCTGGTATTGGGATCTTAGCCGTGGAACTTGGGCAAGTTACTCAGCCTCTCTGTACAGTCTCAGGATCCTCATTAGTAAAATAGCAATAATAATTGCTAGACTGTTGCTGTGAGGATAAAATGATTTCACTCATGTTCTTCCCAGTAAGTACATGGTCAGCACACAGAAAATGTTAATTTCCTTGTCACTCTCTGTTCCTGTGTCACCTGGCAGTGGAATCTGTCCTAATCTTAGGAGATTTCAGATATTTAGGTAAAAATCTGGAGTATTATAAACACACTGTTTTATTTAAAATGTTAAAAAAATTTTAGGGGAATGTTAATGGGAAAAAATTACTTTTTCTTTAAAAAAAATATATATATTTATTGATTTCAGAGAGGAAGGGGAGAGGGAGAGAGAGATAGAAATACCAGTGATGAGAGAGAATGATTGATCAGCTGCCTCCTGCATGCCCCACACTGGGGATGGAGCACAAAACCCGGGCATGTGCCCTGACCGGGAATCGAACCATGGCCTCCTAGTTCATAGGTTGACGCTCAACCATTGAACACCGCCTTTCTTTTTCTTGTGTGGAAGATTCAACATTCTGCCTGGAGTCCCTATGTGATATCTGGGTTCTGGACCTCTGTTCACCCCTGACTGTTTGACCTTGGTCCAGTCACTGCGTCTAGCTTTCCATTTTCATGGTGGGTCTGATACTGCCTGACTGGTCTGAGGCTAGAGAACCGTGAGTCTGTGTGTCTTTAGCTGGGATGCAAGGAGCTTCCCACGTGTTATTCTCTGCCCTCCCCCGTCCCCCACCCCGTTCCTGATGTGGAGGCAGAGCCAAGGAAAATGTGAATACACAAAAGCCGTGGGCATTAAATATTTGTTCAGTATTGTCCTTGTTATTTTAGGGTTACAGAGACATCTACTAATATTTTTCTCCGATAATTTGTTCTCTAAAGGGGAGTAAAAAATAGCTCTAAAATTGTGTACATAAAATAATTTAATCAAACAAATTGAATTAGAGCAGATAGAATTAGAAAGGACACAGGATGGCCTTGATTCGTTTACCTTCAGGTGGTGGCATCATGCCAACAGCAAATAATGTTATTTGCCCCGCCAGGAGCTTCTGCTGGTGCAGTGACAGGAATAAAGATGACTTCATCCTTGACTCTCCTAGCGCGAGCCCTGCGTTTGGCAAATGAAATCATGCTGTCCTTGTCCTTTGCAAGCATCAGCCCACCAGCTGGTGCTCCTTCTCGAGCAGAGGCTGTGCCAGGGTGGAACCCTACCTTCTGCTGACAGTTCATTCCTTCACACCCTTCAGCAGAGGAGTTGCTGCTGAATTACGGGACGTCCACAGACCTGCTTGGGGCTGTTTCAGTGCTGGGGTTTTGAAAGAAACAACCGGACCCCAATGTTGTAGGGTCCAGCCCAGATTTCCTCTGCTCACCAAGGAGTCGCCCAGCGGTCAGCAGGGTCGTTATTATGCCGTGGTTATTATGTCCTCCCTCGGGAAGAATGTGCAGTGACACAGCTGAGGTGTTGGATTCGGAACTGGATTAGACTAAAGTTACTGTGTCTTGAATTCAAACCAGATGTCCTGGGACAAGTGCTCAGTGCAGCGTGAGAAAGGCAGGGCGTGACCCTGGAGGTCCACGTGGCTGTGCTGTTGGCTTTCAAATGGGAGACGATAGGAAAGGACGGAGTCTTCCTTCCCGTCCCCTTTCCTGTCCCTGCCTTTTCGCTCAAGCCGCAGCCGCGGGTCACAGCTCAAAGCTAAGGCAGCGTATCTGCGTGAACACTGCCTTCAGGGAAGGTCAGGAATGACGGGCAGCCGTGTGCTCGGGCTTGGAGGCTGCCGTCTGAGTAGCTGGAGAGGAGGCTGCCACATCCTTAAAGCTGACTTAGAAAAGTCTGGAAAAGTTTCATTTTAATTTTTATACATGCTCAGTCAGTCTTTGCCTTCATAATTGTGTAGCATTAAAGTATTTTTAACCTGTGTTTTTTCACTCAACATTATATCAGGACCTGGAAGTGTGTTCAGGTTGTATCACAGGGTGGGCTCTATGGTATAATGAACTGACTGTCAGGTGTGACCTCTGGTTGGGAATAATGCTGCGCTGGGAACCTCCTTCAGATGGCGCTGTCCTTTGCTTCACCTTGTTTCTTACGGGCAGGTCTCCAGAAGCGGGGTTATGTTCTAACATTTTCGTTATTGCATACTGTGCCCACTTCTCTCTACAAGTGAGGCTAAGCTCCGCTACCTTTGGCCGTGCAAGAGGGGAGTGGCTTTGTGCAATCTTGACAGGCTTGCTGTATAAAAGTCATTTTGCTGATTTGCTAGGTGAAAATGGCCCTTGCAGTTTTAGTTTTTGCATTTCTTGGACTATCAGACAGGTTGAATTATTTTCATCTATTTGTTTACTAGCTGTCTTTTTTCTTCTTCATTACAAACTAGTGGCCCGGTACACAGATTCATGCACATTGAAAGGAAATTAATTAGAAGAAATATTTTAATATCGCTATTCGCCCTTTCTCTATAATAGAAGTGTCAACCAAATTCACGATCGACAATGACAGATTGAAACACACGTGTGCGATTGGCGCCAGCGAGCGCTTTATATGTATCACGCATGTGCAAGTCAATGTTTATTTTTAAATTGCGAGTGTCATATGTACCTGCTGGTTGGTCGGTTGGATGAACGGCCGGTCAGCCACTTAGCCTTTTATATAAATAGATTATAAGAAGGTGATATGAAGTATGAAATATGAATACTGTATCTTAATCTCCTCATCTTTACTGTGAATCAATAGATACTGTATAAAGTTGAAATATGTAGATAAAAGAATCACCTACTTTCTCTCATCTCTTTCCCTGCACATGCGCGCGCACACACACACACACACACACAAACACACACGTACACACACAATATGAGATATTTTAAACTTTAGAGAGACCTCTTATGAACTAGGTGGAAAAAAAACACATTTTTCTTTAAAGTTGAGTGATTACTTTGGTCACACTTTAGTTTCTTCTATCAATTTTCATTAAAATTAAATGTAATGGTTTAAATTTGAACACACACAGAACACAACCTCAGTTTCTGCAAAATGATTTTTATCTTTCTCTCCTGATAACAGAGATATCTGGACTGTTATTCAATCAGTGCTAACTGGTTATTTCTGTGGTAGAATTTTGAGATGATTTTAAATTTCATACTATACTGGATTGTTTTTGCTTTAAAATACTCATAGCATTCTTTGACATTAACAACTATCCTCAAAAGCCCATGAAGGATCATTTTTAAAGGTGTCAGAGCTGGACCTCCACGTGGAAGTAGTTGGATATATGAGTCTGGAATTCAGAGGGCAAGTCTGCATTAGAGATGATAAATGTGAGAGTTGGCAGCATGTAGCTGATTTTTGAAGCTCAGAGGAATGCATGGAGTCATCTTGAGAGAGACTTAAGGGAGAAGGGACAAGTGCTCAGGTCCCCACTGTGTGCATCTCCATCACTGGAGGAGGAAGGGTGGGGGAGGGGCCTGCATTCGAGCCAAAAACACCCATGCTTTTTGAGGTGGGAGGAACACCTACCTGTTTGCACTTGCAGACGTCGTGAAACAGCCGGGCAGTTTTGATAAGATGCTGGGATGCAGTTCAAATTCAGGGGTTGCCCACTGGATTTCATTCCAGGACATATTGTCCATTTGGGTGCCTCCTACTTTTCTTTTCCCCAAACCTTGCAAGTTAGAGAACTAGCGGTTGCTTTAACTCCACTTGGAGAATAAGTTCAAGACCTCTAGAATATTTGGGGGTTTGACTAACATCTGGGTCTTTAAAGAGCTCCTGACTTCCAATAGATGCGGTCAGTGTGTTTAGAGAGCACTTGTATGGATTTTTTAAAAATACCTTTTTATTGATTTCAGAGAGGAAGGAAGAGGGAGAGAGAGATATAAACAATGATGAGAGAGAATCATCGATCGGCTGCCTCCTGCACCCCTCGCCCCCTAGTAGGGATGGAGCCCGTAACCCGGGCATGTGCCCCGACTGGAATCGAACTGTGACCTCCTGGTTCATAGGTCGATGCTTAGCCTCTGAGAAACATCAGCTGGGCGTATAGATTTTTAATGAGCCACAGCAGCTTCTGTTGGATGAGTGCTGTATTTGGCTTGTGAGTTTAAAGAGAGTGGCCTCTGTGTACATCACTGTGACCCACTCAACTTATAATCCTGTCTCCTGATTAGTAGGGAGTCTTTCCTGCAAGGCTACAAAGTTAAGCTTTTAAAGCCTCCTTATCTGTTGACAAGAGGTCAAGTGCGGGAGACTTGATGCTTAGGTTGTTTTTCTCAACTTGCCCCTTGAGAACAGCCAACTGCTGCTCAGCCCACAGGCCTCACTTTGGGAGCCTGGAGAGTTTGCCTTCCCCGGTTACCTTTAGGCCAGTGCCAGTCACAGCACTTCTCAGCCCTTTCTGAGCTCGTCAAGCTCATGTGAGGCTGAAGCTGCATCTGCCAGCCAGTGAGTGACCTCGGCCTCTGGTGGGTGATGACTGTTTCTGGCCGTTGCTGGGACCTGCTTCTGTGTCATTCAGCCTCTCTGTCAACAGCCTGGCATTCAGAGCCACTCCAGCTCTAATGCTTCTCCTGGCACCAGGCACGCATCAGCGTCCTTCACGCCTCAGCCCCCAGTGCCAGCAGGGCCCCACCTGTCCCCAGGTTGCTTGGTTGCCTCCTGTCTCACAGTCGTTTTCTCTGTTTTCCTGGTCCTGGCACATCTGCACCAGGGCCTTTGCACAGATGTTTGCAAAAACGTTGCGTTTTCCAGTTGTGCACTGCATTTAGCGATAGGGTTTGAAGGAAGTAGACTTGGATGTGGATCTGATTAGCTTTCCGATTTTCTCCCCTTCTAGGTAATACTTACTAATATTCAAAACAGAAGCCCTAAGCCTGGCCCTGCTCCCCACGATCAAGAACTAGGTTTTTTCCTAGAAACAGGACTTCAGAGAGCCCATGTCCTCTATTTCAAAAATGGGTAAGCCTTCTTTATTTTTTAATCAAGGTCCTCAAGAAGGAGAATAGAAAGCCTTATAACGCTGCCTTCAGTTTAGTTATTATAACAAAACTATTTAAAATATGAACGATAATTGGATTTTTTAAAAAAAAAGAATGAACATAGGGGAAAAGGGAATGAGCTGGAAACCCTGGCACCCAGGCTCATCTTCCTCGGAATGGCTGATCAGTTCAGAGAATCCAATTTGCCAGGTCTCTGACGGTTTTCTCTTTTTAAATATGTCTTTATTGATTTTAGATAGATGAAGGGAGAAGGGAAAAGAGATAGAAATATCGATGAGAAACATGGATCGCTGACTCCTGCACGCCCCCTACCGGGGATCAAGCCCGCAACCGGGCATGTGCCCTGACCAGGAATCGAACCCTGATCACCTGGTTTCTAGGTCAGCGCTCAAACACTGAGCCACACTGGCCAGGCTCAGACAGTTTTTATGAAAGTGAGCGCGGCTGTGATGCCACACAAGAACGTTTTCTTCCTGAGCTGCCTTTGAAGAGGGTCTGAGAGCCTGAATGTAAGGGAGAGAGCTCTTTAATGCACTTGATGTTTGTTTCTTTTCTGTGTTGCTCTTATGAGAAATGCCATGATTCTGTTCCAAATCTCTTCAGCTGTCCCTTGTTTTGACATTGTGCTGCAGGATAGATGTGCATGAAGACCAACAGTAGGTATCGGTTCCTCTGTAGCTCCTGCTGGGCTGTGCATGGAGGCCCAGAGGCCTGTTCCCTTCCTCTAGGACGAGTCCCAGCCTCTGGATACATGAACAATGGAGTTGCTCCCTCTTCATTGTTACGAGCTTCAAACCTTGGGGCGCAGCTCGTGGAAGTGGGATTCCATCTTCCTGGTGGCCCAGAGCCACACACATCCAATTTCCATTGGCCTATTTCCCAGAGCCTGTTAAACTGTGGGCAAGGCCTGCTGTGCTCTGAGGGCCACTGGCTCAGATTGGCATAGTCCACACCAGGCACCCCAAGGTTTGGAATGGCTTGGTGGCTTTGGCACTAAGATGTGCTCAAATTGGATCTCATCTGCCACTGATTGAGATCGTCTGAGCGATGGTGCATGCCCTCTAAGCTGAGTTTTGCTGTTTTACTAGTAGATAGAGGGAGAAGGGAGGGAATGCGGAATTTTTTTTCTAGTGGTCTGTTTTTTCTCCATTTTCACAATAAATGGTGGTCATCACAGAGGACCCCCAACCAATACCCTCCTTCCCTCTAACCTGTGAGCTGTGTGGTGGATACGCAATTTCCTGGGGGCTCTCCGGGGAGCCACACCCACCCCTTCCATCGAAAATGCTTTGTGTGAGGTTGATAAGGATGGGCTGGGTAACATGTTTTCATCTCCGAAGGCTGTTTGTTGAGGAGCAGCAGGGCCACTGGGCTCTGACCTCCTGCCATGAGACACGGCTGCCCGCTGAGCCCAGCTGAAGAGTAATGAGGATGAGAGGTGTGTTATTTATCACGAGATGATGGGTTACACGCCGGGAATTGCTTACTGGCTCATTTCTCATTTTACCCAAGTTCAAGGGGATTCCCACTGATGTGGCCAAAGTTAAGGGGCTGCTCAACTTGGAAGCCTATGCTTCTCTTTTCTTGTCCTTGCCCTTCTCTCTGGGCTCTGAAGACCCATTGTGATGGCATTGGGCCAGCTACTCCACAGCGTGCCTTCGAGTGCAGTGTTCGGAGGCTGGGCTGTGCAGCAGTGACGAGGGGTTACTTTTGGGGGAGGTGGAGGTAAAAGCCAGTTTCAGAACCACAAAATATTCCCGGAAGGAGAGGAATCTGTGGGAAGTTTTGGTCAAGCCAAGTGCCATCAGGGTTCCTCAGGGCCCAAGGGCCACACCGGGGGTCACTTGTCAGTGGCCACCTACAGGCAGCATCCCCGAGAGCAGAGGCAGATGGGGCAGCTGCTGTCCCTGCGCCCCGGTGCCTCCCCTGGCTCCGTCTCCTGATGTGTCTGCTCCGTGCTTGTCTCGCACCTTTTGATTTCCCGCACTTTAAAAACGGGCATCTGGGAGCATGTCATGGACAGGGTCTGACTGATTCTCAGGGACAGGGAAATGCATTAGACAAGAGTTTTGCCGTAAGAGACAGAAATGGATAAAGCACATCTGTTTCTTTAAAAATATACTTAAAGATATTCAGTTTTTGGTTGTCATCCCCGAGAATTTAAGGAGTTATAGTAATCACTTTTATTCTTTCATAATTTCCCATCTTTTTCAAGAGTGAGCACCAAACTAGTGACCTTGAGTCTCCTTCAGAGAGAACCTGATCCCTGGACCAGTTCCTAATCCCTAACCCCTCCTAATCCCTCAGACCCCAGGGATGCTTTTGTGTACCAAGTACTTGGCCTTCATCGTCCTTGCTCCTCATGGTGGCATCTCGTTCATGTCCTTTGGCACCTTAGAGGTCGGCAGTATAAGTAGCATGGCCCCTGTTTTACACACGGCGACCTGGCTGCGGGTTCAGTCCGTTTAGCACTGCACCCCTGCGGTCACTCCGTGTGGAGGGGCTTGGTTGGACCCTCAGACAGTGGCTTTGTCCAGCGTCTGCCTTCCGTGAGGGAGGGCTTGAGCCCTGGTGCGAGACCCGCCCAGGGGATGGTTCCCAGCCTCCGCTGATTGGGGTTTTCTTGCCAACTTTCCCTCATGCCTCACCTCCATGTCACAGATCACCTGTTCCTCCTTCTTTCCTCTCCTGGTCCCTCTGCTCCCCCTTTTCCTCACCCTCTCTTCCCTTCCTCTCATCCCCGGACCCCTTTCTGGTTGCTGTCCACCCCAGTGTCCGGGGCGGGGCTGACTTGGAACACACTCACATCTGCTTCCAGCTGTGTCTCTTCTCCCTCGGGTGGCAGCGGCAGGCCTATTAAGGATGAAAAAAAATCCTGCTCAGGCTCTGCAGAGGGTGAAGTCAGAGAGTTGGAGCCTCAGAGGACCAGGACAGCTGCCTCCGAGGTTCTCGCATTGCCTCGCCCACGGAGGCGCTGGCTCGGGCAGCAAGGGCCCTGGGGCCAGAGGCCTGGTATGGGACCAGCCTTCTCCTCACCAGGCATCCGTTCTTCTTCTTTCTTTCTTTCTTTCTTTCTTTCTTTCTTTCTTTCTTTCTTTCTTTCTTTCTTTCTTTCTTTCTTTCTTTCTTTCTTTCTTTCTTTCTTTCTTTCCTTCCTTCCTTCCTTCCTTCCTTCCTACCTTCCTTCCTTCCTTCCTTCCTTCCTTCCTTCCTTCCTTCCTTCTTTCTTTCTTTCTTTCTTTCTTTCTCTCTCTCTCTCTTTTTAATATATTTTATTGATTTTTTACAGAGAGGAAGGGAGAAGGATAGAGAGTCAGAAACATCGATCAGCTGCCTCCTACACATTCCCTACTGGGCATGTGCCTGCAACCAAGGTACATGCCCTTGACCGGAATCGAACCTGGGACCCTTGAGTCCGCAGGCCGACACTCTATCCACTGAGCCAAACTGGTTAGGGCCAGGCATCCGTTTCTTTATCTGCGAAATAGAGCTAACCCCACCCACTTTAGAGCTGTGGCGAGGCACAAATAAGAAAACGCATGTGGAAACACCGGGAGGCATCAGGCAAACAGCAAGTGGTCAATGGTAATTTCCCATGTTGGCGTTGCCCGCTGACCTTCCAGGGGGACGTGGGACCAGATGAAGGTCAGGTTGCAGCTAAAGAGGAAGCTCACGAAGCAGGCACCCGTCACTCATTGCATTGCTGAGCCCCGCACTACCAGTGTTTAAGGAGCGGCACTTGTTTAGGCGGCTGGTTTAAGCGGGCGCTGCTGACGATGCGTTAACAGTTAGCTAGGGTAACACCTAATAACAGTATCTCAGAGGGGGCGCTGACTGGGCTGACGCAGTAACATTGGATGTTATTTGGGTGGGAAAACGACCTCAGCGTGGGGATCCCCTCAGCCTGAGAAGGAGAAATGTCTCTCACACGCACACACACACACACACACACACACACCGTGAGTCTTTGCAGCCAGAATTGCCAGAGAAGCGTGGGTCTGGGAGGCCACTTACTTCCTGCGAGTCTTGATCTCAGTGTCACTTTCTGGAGGGCCCTGCCGAGCACCCCATGTAAGCAGGTGCCTTCTGTTACCCGCTCTCACTGCACACATTCCTTTCCCAGTGCTGACTACGATTTGTAACTCTGTACATTGGTTTACTGGCTCATTATCTGTCTCCTTTACTAGACTATCTCCTCCCTGAGAACCTGGGTTATGTTCTTTAAATTCACCAATGTAGTACCAAGCACAGTTCTTGGCAGGTAGCCACACTCAATCAATACTTGTTGGACGACTGAACAAACCTACTATGTGCCAGGTCCTGTGCTGAGAGGCTTACATACCCTGCAGGGTGTAAGGAGGCCAGTCTGCTTGGAGTGAAGGTTTATATAGAAGTCTGTGGATTTCTTGAGACTTGGTTAGATGGAGTGGGGCCAAGGAGAGGATCGAATTTGGAAATGGGGCTATCAAGGATTTGCCGTTGGATGTGTTATGTTTGAGATGCCTATGAGACGTATAGCTGAGTGGAATTGTCAACTAGGATGATGTATGAGCACAGAGGGAAGGTTGGAGCTTGAGTGATAAATCAGGAGTTTCATCACATTGGCCTGGATGAAATCAATAAGGGACAGAGTGTAGTGAGGGAAGCAAAGACTGCCCAAGACCCAGCAATAGTTGGATGTTGAATAAAGGGGAGGAACTTGTGGAGGGGCTGCCTGAGGTCAGAGGGACGCCATGAGGGTGTGTCCCGGGAAAGCCTACAGGGGAGGACGTGCCGGGAGAAGGAAGGGACCATGTCTGTGTTGAATGGTGCTGTGATATTAATAAGGGCAAAGACCAGGGCATTGGAGTGGATAACATGGAAGGCATGTGACCTCGAATAGACTTTTGGTGGATGGTTTAAGAGCAGAAGCCAGGTTGGGGAAAGAGGAGCAAATGAAACAGGAGGAAGTGGTGGCAT